ATGGTGGCGTCGTTTTCGTAAAGCTCGTAAAACTTGCCCTTCTTGAAGAAAACGACGGTATCCCACAGCTTCTGCTTGATCTCCCAGTATTGCTTCTCGAAAGGGGAAAAGTTGTTCCAAGCACCGGGCGGGATGTACACCGACGACGGATCGTAGTCAGGATCACCTCGAGGCTTTTTGTTGATATCCACAATGTTGGCGAGCCAGGGGTAACGGTCCTCCGGCTCTCTGGTATGCGCCTTCTCTTTGGTCTTGAGAGTACGACGAGCTTGTTGCGTGGGAGCAGTGCGGGTGGCAGCAGACGCAACGTTGTTAGGGTCGTAACGCCACTGCTGAGCTGTCGAAGGAACTGGAACATCCAGCATGGCCTCCTCGTCGATTTCTTCGTACTCTTCTTCCTTGATGGGAGACGAAACGTGTGACTTCTTTCGTGACGCCGCCTTGCTTGTTGCGGGGCGTTTCCGCTTCTTGGATTGCGAGCCTTCGTCTGACTCGTCACTAACGACAAAGTCAATCATATCTAAAGTTGTCTGTCAGGCCATGATCTGTTGCGCAGAGACGAGGCTACCCACCGTCATCGTCCTCGGGCAGGTCATTGCTTGCAGTGTCCTCCTCATAGTCATCGCCATCATCCACAATGGCTGCCGGGGTCCGTGTGCGGCGGCGTGTGCTTGCGGTTCGGAGTCGAATGAATGGATCGTCATCCTCATCGTCGGAGGCTTCGGCGTAGTTGACAGGCTTTCTGGACTACATGGGGCATGTCAGCACAATACCTATCACGCTTAATGGGGAATCTGTGAAGTACCTTGCGGGTTGGGCTTGAAGACGGCACAGGTAGCTTGGTAGTAGTCTGTGGAGTCATATGCTCAGCTGAAGTAGATGGCGATGGCAAGGAGTCATCGGCTACCTTGACTGTCGAGACACTCAAGTTCTCCTGAGAGCTTGCGGGCTCAATGGCATCGCTGCTAGGCACGGGAGTCAGGCTGGACGATTTCGGAGCCTGGGGAAGGGTGTTCGTTCGTTTCGACTCTCTTAAGCAAGGAGACGAGTCGGGAGCTTTAGCCGTGGGCTTCGGTGTCGGTGTTGAGCGAGAGACACTGGTGGATTTGGAGAAGAATTGAACAATGGTCTTTTGGGTTCCAGCCGATGACGACGGCTGGCGCTTGAGGGTTGGAGTCTTGGCCGGCGTACGGGCGGCTGAGGAGGATCTCTCTCCCATGATGCCGACTGTTAGTGGAACTTGGTTCTACGACAGACCAGCGAAAAGAAGAGAGTGAGATGGGCGAAATAGAAGGAGAGTCGTGAAGCGGGTGGGCTTTCAAAAGACAGGTCAATACGATATGGTTGGTGGTTGGAAAGAGCTATCAGCAGATGTGCCGATGTGCTGGGAGAGGGAGTCAAGAAATGTCGGTACGGCTCAACGCGAAAGGTGACCCGCGTTGCCCGATGGTATTGAGCTTGGTGGGTGTTGAATTTGATCCCAATCAGGACTGGAGCTGGGGACCAGTGCCGGGATGACGCGCCAGAAGTTAAATCGAAAGTCGAGAAAGTCGCGCTCTGAACGCGTCTGGAGTGGCGGGGCCGCGTTCTACCTTTAATTGAACGACCGGGGGACGGGAGGCGGCTGCAGGGATCACTGGTGGGGGTCATCCTGTGCCTGTGTGCCCGCACGATTACCTTACGTAATATTCTCAGACTGCCTCCTTCCGCTATCACAACGGACATCAGCACCTCATCTCTTAACGATGAGACGTGAACAGGCTTTTAGCCTACCTATGTAATGGTCTCATTTGTGTGACCTCACCCCATAACTTTTGAATTGTGCGTATACGATTCTTCCAGTGGGAAAACACCTTAACTTGGATACCTGTCTAGGAAGCAAGTGATGTATGGGTGTCAACGGCTTCTGGAGTGAAAGTTACAAATGCCTTGGCTATACGCATATGATTTCAATCAGCCCGCACTATGAGGCTTCAGAAATCATCGAAGGGTCTCGAAAGAGTACAGATGATGAGTAGAGGAGGAACAAGATGGGGAAGTCAGCTGTCTCACATCGCGGTACTAGGTAGTGCGGTCAGCGATAACGCTCGCACCCGATGTTAACCCCGCCTCTCCGATAAGAGGACCTTTATCTCATAATAGCTGCTTATACCAAGTATATGTGATGAAATTGAGCTCGGATTATCGACTCAAGGATGTCCAGTGATCTCATGATGTGAGGCTTGTCTGGATACATCAAGTCAATTCACTCATTTTGTATATCTTGAGTGAGGACAGCCTTCCAGAAGGCTCAAGAACATGTATTGCTCAAAGATAGGGACGCTGTATCTCTGGAACGGCGTGGGTCGCTTGACCCTAGAGGCTTCCTTTACTGTTGTTACTGACCCGGGTTCTCTTAGATCAAAATGTCAACCGAGTAGATTGGGATGACCAGCTTTTCGGACTGCTAAAGAAGCAGAAAAACGACCAAATATTCACTTACAGACACTGACCGAGCAAATCTCGTTGAGCTGCTTCTGAACAAGTTGTCTCGAGCCACGCAAACTCAAAGAGACTTCGCGAGTTTTGTGAAAGAACCACGATGTCTTGCCAGTCGCCACATCAAGTGCCATTATAGGAAGTTTTCCCGAGCTCCTTTGCGAAGCAGAAGTTTGAGGTTCTCGAACTGCAATTGGCTCTCGTCCATCACACCCTGGCAATGAAAAGGATAGCGGACATCGTACCCGAACTCATTACTTAACCCTTGCCGTGGCATTTTTCAGCTGCCTCAAATGCACGTTTACGAGATGCGGCCTTGCGTATATGTGTGTAGTAACCCCAGGTGTTTGGCCCGAGGCTGTCCTTCAAGGGAAATCTTCATCCGAGGTTTTAGCCGCCGGCGATGGCGGGTATTCATCCGGTCCCAACAGCTTCAGATTGATGATAGAGAATCATATCCATAAAGCAGGACCGGAAGTCTTCAGATACTCACTATCCTCGGCAGTGGGAGGCCAGGGTCTGTCAAGGAAAGCCTCGGTCTGGCTAGAAGTCATGAAAACTCCCACTCTGCTCCGGCGGTAGGCTGAATCGAGGTCAGTTGGAATAACAGGGGGGGAGTTTAATTGTGATCCCCTCCGAAAGCTCAAGGGGAAGTTTTGCTATGTTTTGGGAAGGTTGAACGGGTTTTGGCTGGTTGGGAAGAAGCCATGGTCCCAGCGAAACAGATGGCAAGGGTCGGAAAAGGGGAATGGACCGGGGATTTGATCTCATTTCCATCATAATTCCGAGTCTAGACCAACAAGGTCGCTGCCGTGCAATTCATTACTCCAGAATTCTTCGTCTACTTTACGGCCGATGCTTAATATTGCGTCTTTCAGTACTCCGTAGTACTGCATGAGCTGTCAGTTCACCGGTTGCAGGAGTCTGCCCTAAGGTGCCTAGCAAGGGTAAGTAGAAAGGCGTTATGGCCGTTTTGGGCCAAAGATACAATGCCACGACTATTGTCAATGTCGGGCCTTCTCATACCCAAGATGTTGTTTAAGGGTGTCTCCAAACCCCAAGAAGATTCCATATTCGTTCCGATGCACTGGTCCGGAAGCCACGGATAGCGCCGAGATGATCTGCAGCAACGTTGAAGCAGGATATCTTGCTCTTTGGTTGCTGATGATATGCGGGGGGCAGAAAGCCCTTCCTCGACTGGTGTAACTGCAAATAGCCGTACTCGCTTGAACCAAGCCCCGCGAACTTGCCAATACCTATCTTCCCAGCCTGAACGCAAGCCACGGGGCGCTCGGCGTCCTCGTTAAGCCGACGCCTAGTCACCAAATCAATCTTGGTGGCGCACAGCATCTATCGATGAATCAAGAATTGTCCAGTGATGGCGATCAATCCTTAGTCCTCACCTCCACATCGATCTTGGCTGTTTACTGCCGGTACTAGAAGCGGTTCTGGGGACCATCTTGGCGCCCAGACAGCCTTCCGTCCGACCGATGACCTACACTAAACCGCAAATGTCAAAGTCTCTGAAGAGAGGGCATTCCCCTGGCACGGCCATAGAGTAGCGAAAAGTCCGAGGTTGACGAACTGTTGGGACAGAGTAGCACTCGGTCGGCGGGTATGGGCCATAACTTAGGGTCCCTTGGCCGACATTCCCATGCCGGCCAGGCTAATGACAGGCTGTCTCACAAGATTGAAGGGTTTATGCTCTCGTCGTTGCGTGCGCGGGCGGTAATTTCTACAGTGACCTAGCCAGCGGCTGGTAGCCAGTAGTATGCTTCGCAATAAGACTGTCGAACTGATGCAGTTTTCGAACTGATGCAGGCGAAGCGTAGTATGCTGGGCAAAGACCAGGATATTGGTACGCAAACCTTTACTTCGAAGACTTGGAGCTTTCTCACAGACTGCCGTGACACCTGCGGCGCAGAATGGTTAGAGTCCCTCCAAAACTCAGGAAGAGATGAAAAAGGGCTCATAGGCGGCGCGAGAATTCAACCCCAGGGCTGGACCGAAAGGAAAGGGGGGTATGGCGAAGTCTAGGGCAGGGAGAACGTTTGTTGGCGCCAAGAAACGCCAAGAAGGATTCCATGTGTTGAGTCTGGGCCATGGCAGTTGCGGCGGCGAGGGTTCTCGCCTGAGTGGGAGAATTCCGTCGTCTTCTTTGGTAATACCACGTCTGTCGACGAGACGACGCGCGCCCTAGCCCTGGAAATGACCAGGGTACAGATATGCATGTGGGCGTCGTCGACTCTGCTTGGCTGCATCGGATGCAGGAGGAGACGAGAAGAGACCTTGTCATCCGTCAGCGTTGCATTCATGATACTCGATCTCAGCTTCGTGAGCAACCAGGCGGCCGGCAAGATCCTGAGCCTGTCAACATTCTGCCACGGGGTATATGAGACAAAGTTAGGTATACACGAAACGCACAGCATCCAAATTTTGGTGCATACATGGACGCTTGAAGAGGTATCACCTGCCAATCGAGTGGAGTGGTTTCTCTGAGTAGATGGGCAAGACAGGAATGGTTTTTTTTTTTTTTTTAAGATCTGCATGAATACTTAGGTCGGGTAGTGATGTGGTTGAATCGCTGAGGTCTGTTCAAGGGTGATTAGGCGAGCCGGAAGGTGAAGAAGGGTGTGGTGTGTAGCATCTCAGATGGAAATGGAAGAGAAGGATGCGGGATCGGACGCGGAGAGCAATGCGGTTGGAAATTAGAGGTTGGGGGCCGAGTGTTGTAGCTGAAGGCTGACGGCTGACGGCTGGAAGGATTCAGACAAAATAGCATCCAAAGAAAAGAGCAAAGCGAGTGTGTGATTGTCATGGAAGAAGAGAATGTCAGCGAAGCGAAAGCTGATGTTGTGGTCCTGCCTGGACAAATTGCTCAAGTACCAGTGTGCCTGCCATCGTTGGTCGGAACGTTCCTGCCTCGTTCGCCTTCAGAGAGTACCGGTACGTACATTCCATCTGTTGGTGGAGGAAGGGACTGGAGAGTCGAGATGGAAGGTCCCTACGTGCTCCGTATCAATCTTGGGGTAAAGGGTAATCTCAGGGAAGTTGACTGGACGAACCCGGCCCCGCCTGTCACGCCGGTTCCACCAGTCCCAGTCCATTGGGCGTGGACTCCTTGAGGTAAATGTAAACTTTGCCCGTTTTTGCAGGCGGCCAGATTCAACACTGGAAAGATTTGTGGACCCAGAGACCCAACGTGCCTAAACTTAAACCTAATCTGGCGGGGCGGGACACGCTGTCAAATCATGGGGTAACCTCCACCCGTCCCCTCAGCAATGGAACTGCCAACTGAAGTGCTGCACTGACATTGGCCAAAGGCCGTGCCCACTTATCACCCACCCTCCTACCTACTGTGTATGTACTCCGTACCCCCAACCTCACCTCTCCCTCTCTTTGTTCTGGGCTACTGTTCCATCGCTCGTGGAAGGTCCTTTTCTCAAGGCAACCTTTGACTATCTTGCAGCAAGGTGAGTCATGCGAGCCTTCTTCTCTCTCACTGCTTGCTTGGAGCTTAGCGCGAACCATCGAGCGATCACGTTTGGTAAGTTAGGGTATCGCAACCAATTTAGGTTGGCCACTAGGACCGAGGGAGCCCTTCCAGCCTTTTCTCTAACTTGAGGCTTCTTCTAAGGTAAGATATCGTATTGACGGGACGGAGTGCTAGTGCTGTTGGTTAGTCTGTGTGAGCTTACTGTGCATTGAGGCGGCAATCTAGATTCTTATCAGCCACCCGACCTTCTTTGGCTGCTTCATTCCCAGCCGCAACCCTCCCTCGCTCTACCTATCTCATTGCCCATGCCTCGTCTCTTGCTTCGCCGAACGCTCTACTCCGTTTACGACACCTGTATCTCTTGCTAAGGTATTCGGCTAAAAGAGACTGGAAAAGAGAAAGCAGCCCTTATACTTAGGGGCAGAGGGAGGGTCCCTCACGGAGTACCGTGGTTTCCCCCAAACCCCCGTTCTTTACCCCGTATTCTCGTCAAAACAAGTGCCTGCTCGTCGGAGTCAGCGGGGAAGATACGCGTGTCAGTTGATTGGATGCCCGGTCATGACCCAATTGCGTGGCGGAGCAGCTAGCGCGTGCCAAGCTGTCGGAAGCTCAATCAACCTCCGGCCTTGCTTCCCATACCAGCTAGAACGTCCGGGGGTCCTTGTCAGCCCGAACCTTGACCTCCCCCATCCATCTCATCCAGGCTCCAGCTGCCAGCTTCCAACTTGGACTACCTACCTAACTTTACTCCGTACCATATCCTTCAACCTCCCGCAAACAAGCCAAAGCTATCATTGGGTCAGTGAGTACTCCGTACCTACACTCCTCTATTCTACCCTACTCTGTGCGCGGTAAGGCATGGGTGCGCCTCCAACCCACTCACCACCATCTTTTGACCATCAAGAATACTGAACCTTGGCGGTGGCTTTCCTCACTTCCTTTCTCCCTAGACCACACTCTTGTATTTGCTTCCAAGCCTCTGTTTCCCCTCGATCCCTTCTACCCCAATCTCTCCCTTTTGAAGCCACCGATGAAGGGAATATTCCATTCGACCGGCGCTAACGTTACTCTTAGCCCTCCCGTACACGTGGCTGCAAGTAAATCCGAGAACTTGTCACTATGTAACCCTCCATCGAGCTACGAACATCGTTCATTGTCTCTCACCTGACGGCTTGTGTCACTCAATCGTGATCTTTGTGGCTGGAAGGATGAGAGGGAGCTCTGTCCGTCTTTGCGGAAAGGCACATGGCAGCATGGCAATTGTCTTCTTGGCTGTCGTATGCCACGCCCGTACCACGGCAAAGGGAGTATTGGCAGTTCCTGCTTCGGGAAGAAGTATTGGAATCTTCTGATCGTCCCCTGACATGTAAGCGGAACGGACAGCAAATACATATGCCGAGCAACAAGAGAGCGAGAAAAACGCAAAGAGAGGAGAGCACTGCCAGGAACACGTCAGCAGCTTGCTGTGTCACCCTGGCGTTGGCTGGCGAGAAATGTATTCGGAAGCCCGCATCTTTATTGCGTTGTGACCGCAACTTGGCCTGTGGAATCTCTTGCGTTGACGCTTCGGAAGCGCCTTCCCACTTCCCACTCAGAGATCAAGCTCAATGGGAGACTATCTATAACGACATCGCACGGGGACGACGGCCCGGCTGGCAGTGATGCACCCCGACTAGGAGTCGGAGTGACCCAGGACAATGGACACAACGTGAGAACTGCTTGATCCGTCCGCGACATGGCTAGAACGGTACGGATGTCGACCATGGGCCCTGACATGCATGCACAAGCCGTGCTACGTACGCACTCGCGGGCGAATGTAGGCGGGGGTTCGTTGATGGGCGTCTACCAACACAGAGTAGTAATTTGTCAACGGCGGTACGGGTACGGACTACGGAGTACTATGCATTGGCTTTGGTTCCACTACTGTCTGCAAAGCACTTTGGTACAGACACGGCAGCATTGGTGTTATCTGGCATGGACGGTTCATTCGCAGAGAAACACTCACGAGCAAGAGGAGAGACACACCTAAGGCTGATATCCACTCACCCGGAGTCGCGACTTTAGCTACGTTTGGTGGCTGAGGTTGGGGTCCCCAGCTTAGCCTTCTTGGCAAAGACGCAACCGCAGGGAGAAGCAAAGTCACGAAGTTGTGGACAGGCGGGGAGACTGAAATTGGCATGCGGGGGAGAGATTGGATGCGGAGGAGGCAAGTGCCTCGGGCTGGTCCCTCCCCCGGGAGTGGGAGAATGGGGATGTGGGATGTGGGATGGAAAAAAGGCAGACGGACAAGGATGAGTAAAAGGAGGAAGTTGATGAAGTGAGTGTCTTCACCCGTAAAGTGTGGGTGAGTATCTGGAATTTGGATAGATTGCTTCGGTTCCGAGTAAGAGTAGAGGTAGGGGTGCTTCAGCTTGATTTCGCATCTGTCCCATTTGCATCGTCTGCACCAACGCGAGAAAGATGTCGGATGGAAGTGCAGATGGAATGCAGTGGCGGACAGATCCAAAACGGGACAAGCTGACAGGATCCGGATCCTTAGAGGCGGCAGAGTTGCAACTGCGACGGCAACGACGCTGTCTTTACTTTTGCATCCAAGGAGATGGGTGCGCGAGACTCGAGAGATACGTACAGAGTTTTAGTAGGTATCTGTACTTCCATCTCGAGTCGTGCGGCCTCCCGATTGACTGGGCGTCCCAGGGCGCAGGCCAGGTACCTTGATGTACCCCAGCACCAGGATTTGACAGACCGAGATCACCCCTGCCGTCAAGAGTAAGGTATTTAGGTATCTTTCTCTATCTGAGGTACTCGTGTACTTTGGGCTGCTCGCTCTCTCTTTTTCCACAACACAGAAACGCCATGGATATCACACCCGCTCGTTGCCAAGACCCTAAAGCTCTGGGGTTTGAATTCGACTGCCCAGTTGCAGTACCTCCCCAGCTAAGCCAAGGTAAGCAAATTGGGGTAAAGCCTTGACTTTTCTAAATGGAAGGGGAAGGGGATGGGCAAGGTCCCGTGTTGGTGAGATTGACTTAAAGAGGGGAGTCGCTCTCATGATTCTCATCAGCTTCTTCTTGTTTCTTGGTTTTTGTTCATGCTTGGCTCTTGCCTCTCTTGCTCTTGCTCTTGCTCTTGCGCCTGCTGCCCTCGCACTGAGAGAGAGAAGCGCCTGCACCTTCACTTGCACCTGCGACTGGCTGCTCATGCCCTGACCTCAGCTCCCGTCTCCGAACCTAATCCTTCTCGCCATCTCATTCCGTTTAGTGTGAGGAATAAAGTTGACGTGGCGAACCTACGGATACAGTCTCACAGTAGAAACATAGTGGAACCATCTCGAGCTTCAGCCTCAGATAGTTTCTTCCTCCCGCCAACGCCACGTGCGATTTGCATATTTGGCTGCTTACTTTGAGTAACGCGGCTTCAGCTCTATTCTCCTTTCCTCCGAGGTTGCAATTCCACCGGAATCAGCTTCCGACAAAGGTCTTACTGAGAGTTTCACCCACAGCTCTCACTCTCATCCAAGACACTCGTCGACTTTTCGGCCGTCAGCTGTCTAGGACCTCGCTCAACACCATCAAACTGAGCCATCTCGTCTCATTCCTCTAAGTACCGCAAGGTAGTTTCTAGGGAATTTGGTTTATAAGTCGCTCTTCAACCGGAGTCTCATCCGTCCCATTGACTTTCCCTCTCTTCCGACTCCTCTCCCTTCTCCGACTTGATCGCCGCCAACCGCCAACATGTCGACCTCCGAGAAGGATATCAAGAACGGTGCTGCTGTCGACCCCTCAATCGAGGTTGAGTACGCCAGCGACCCCGACAGGGCTGGCTTCGACCAGGCTGCTACCAAGAGACTGCTGCGCAAGATCGACTGGACCTTGATTCCCTTCCTTGCCCTGCTGTACCTGCTGTCCTTCCTGGACCGCACCAACATTGGCAATGCTCGTCTCGCTGGCCTCGAGAAGGACCTGGGCATGCAGGGCCTTGATTACAACGTCGCCCTCTCAGTCTTCTTCCCTTGGTATGTCGCTGCCGAGATTCCCTCCAACTTGGCCATGAAGCGCTTCCGCCCCTCTATCTGGATCCCCTGCATTATGATCGCCTGGGGTATTTGCTGTACCCTCATGGGTCTTGTTAACAACTATGCTGGACTCTTGGCTGCTCGCATGGCTCTCGGTCTTGCTGAGGGTGGTCTTTTCCCCGGCATCACCTACTAGTGAGTATCCCCCGTCTCAGGCAAACTGGTTTACCCAGCAATCTAACCTCTCTATTTCTAGCATTACCATGTGGTACCGACGTCACGAGTGCGGTCTTCGCATGGCCATCTTCTTCTCTGCCGCTACAGCTGCTGGTGCCTTCGGAGGTCTTCTCGCCAGAGGCATTGTTGAGATGAGGGGCATTGGAGGCAGACCCGGCTGGGCCTGGATCTTCATCCTTGAGGGCATTCTCACTCTCGCTGTTGGTAAGTTGCGATTCCCTTGACTTCATGTGAAACCAGTAGCTCGATACTAATGGAGTCCTCTCTGAACAGCCATCGCCGCCTTCTTCGTCATGAACGATTATCCTGCCACTGCCAAGTTCCTCACTGTCGCCGAAAAGGAGGAGGTCACTCGTCGTCTTGAGCAGGACCGCTCCGCTCTTGCTGATGAGTTCAGCATGGTTTACTTCAAGGATGCCATGAAGGACTGGAAGATCTGGGTTCACATGGTGAGTTGCAGTACCCAGACAATTCTACTTTACATGCGCAGACGTACTGACAAACATCTCTAGCTCATCACCATCGGAATCTACACTCCCCTCTACTCCTACTCTCTCTTCCTCCCCACCATCGTCAGTGGCCTCGGATACACCAACGAAACGGCCCAGCTGATGACCGTTCCCCCGTATATCGTGGCCTGCGTCTGCTGTATCAGTGGTGGTTGGGTGGCCGATCGCCACAAGCAGCGTGGCATCTACATGATCTTCTTCTGCCTCATCGCGTATGTGTATCGTCTCACGTCCAAACAAAAGACTGCAAACTAATACTGTCGTTACAGAATGACCGGCTTCATTATGCTTCTTTCCTCCCAGAGCAACGGAGTGAAGTATGCTGGCTGCTTCTTCGCTGCCTCCGGTATCTACCCCAACGTTCCCCAGGGTGTCGCTTGGAACGGCAACAATATCGGAGGCTCCGTCAAGAGAGGTGTTGGTATTGCCATGCACGTCGGTAAGTCTCGATCGCTACCCACCTTTGTCAATAAAGTGAAGATTACTAACAGGACATAGGGTTCGGTAACCTTGGCGGTGCTATTGCTGGCTTCCTGTACCAGGCCAAGGACAAGCCTCACTACTACCCCGGCCACGGCACACTCCTGTCGACATTGACCATGTCGATGCTTCTCTCCACCTTCATGACGATCTACCTCCGTCGCGAGAACGCCCGCCGAGACCGCGAGTACAAGGATCCTTCCCAATACACTGCTGAGGAGAAGGCTGCCGAGCGTCACAAGGGTGACAACGCCACCTTCTTCCGCTACACGGTTTGAGGGGGCCATGAGTCTATTGATTTCAACGCAATGTTTTGAGCACAGAAAATTGGTGTTCTTATCTGTATAATGCAGCACATACGCGGATGATGCATATGCTATAGAGAAAGAATGGGAGCTTCCAAGGGGATAGATACGGCTTATTCGAGGCCCCCTTAGAGCTGAGTAACAAAATAGAGGCACATCTACGTCAAGATCATTCACTGTGATTCCATATCTTTGCAAATGTGACATGCGAATATAGTTCTGGTTGAGCTGTCGAAGACATGAAGCTGACCGAACAATGGTGCTGTGATCAATGCTCAATGGAAATTTTGTCACGAATCTGATGAGCCTACGTCTTCATGAGTAATCAATTACAATTATCTCTCCAAAAGGCTAGATGACTCTCAAGACCCTGGAATTACTTTCAAATCTGCCTCTATCTAAAGGACAATTTCCCTTCTTTCCATTTCCGGTATCGCCTTGGCTCTGGTCCCCAAGAAGGGGGCGGAGTCTGCCAATACCCTTGGCCTTTACATCCTTTCCCCCGAGACTTGGGGAGGTCGGGGAAAACTTGGGGAAAACCTGGGGTAGGGAAGTAATCAAATGAGGGGAGATATCGATGCCAAGATTAAGTCAAAAGGGAACAGGGTAGCAAGGGGTATGTTTGCATTTGGGGCACCGGATCTGTCATTGTCTGCGAGATCGGGCAAACTTGATGTTTGACAGTTCGTCGGGACCCGTGTGACGGGTTCAAGGTACATGGTACTTCGTACTAATACTATACTACTGGAACCTGGAACTTGCCGATTGAAGCACGTCATGCAAATGTGAGTTTGACAAGCTGGATCGTGGACCGACCCGCAGCCTTTCCGTTTTTCCGGCCGTGAGGGGGGGGGGTTTCGTTGAGGGGGCGAGGCCTCCAGGTCTCATTCAAACTTACTTGAGAGTCGAAAAGCTGCCCTTGTGGTGTTATAAAACCAAAGATATTGAGACACTCGAGATACGTAGTTGCATTCTCCCAAGCCTGTCCCAGGTTCCCCAGGTTCCTGGGCAGCCTGTACGCAGCTAGGCCTGGCGTACTGCCAGGTTTTCCACCATGCTATTACGGCCTTTTTGGCGGGGGAGGGAGAGGCTTACGCACGTTACAAAAGTACTTCAATTGGAGAATAGAGTGAATATGTGATGAGGCTCAGACATGATGGACGGATACAACGATGGGGCCAGTTGAGACAAAGTAGTCAATTCTTGGTCTTTGTGTGTTCTGATAGCTATAACTGACTGGGTCTGTCGAGAATATTGACATTGCCGACAGAAACGATATCCGCTTCGGCTTCGGTCTGGATCTTGGTGCCTCGGTGGAACCCTTTTTATGTCAGCTAATTGGGGGAATGCTAAGCAGTTCCGATTCTCCGACTTCTGGATCATCAGTATTGCGGCCTTAGTATCTGTAGTCTCTGCATTCCAACATATTGTCTCGATCTTGGACTTCCCTGGGCTGGGCATTTGAACAGCAGAGTAAGAAGGATTGAGAACAACCTTGTCAGTGGGTATCACTTTACTTTGTGCTGCCAAATTTCGAAGAGCTTCTGTAAATTATAGGCAGGGTGTGCGGACTTGAAGTTTCTCAACATCTAATGACTTTGTGCAATATTTCACGGGATGACGGAGGTATGGAGTCTCAAGATTCGGAGGACGCGGCGTTTGTATCAAGTAAGTTGAGGAATAGAGCGTCGGCCAGCAGCTTTGAAATCATGCAGGTGACTTGGAAATGCCGCAACATAAAACGTTGCACTTCTTCGGGACGGGGAGAGGTCGGAGAACGGACCCGGTAGGTGGAGCCATCACGGCCAACGGACGTTCATGCCGGGGATCTGCCCTGCGTACCTTACCTTACTAGAGCGTCTTACGGCTACGGGATACCGTCAGCGGCCAATGATCAAGTACTTAGCTTAAGTAGGGTACGGCACTGAAGCGGCCTTTCAGCCTCTATGCGTATCACTGATCCGAAAGACGACTCAGACGACGACTGATACGATCCCTGTACTAGTTCCAAACTTCGTCCTCGCTTTGGCTTTTACAGCCCAGTATCAATCAATAGCACGTGATAAAAAGTTCAAACCTCAAGCAAAAAAGAGTTCACCACCAGTGTGGCTAATCTCTTGGCGATTATTATAGTGCTCATGCTGGGATCCTATGCGAACTCGAACTCGGAGCCTGTCGAGATAGGCTACAGGGCGATAATTGATAATTGACCTTTTAACCATTCCACCATCCAGACAAGTTTGACCTGACCCGTCGACCTAGACGGACGCCTGCTTGCTGGTGACGGAAATGGAGTTGAGAGGAGGGGGGGGGTCAATATACCCTTCTTATGTATTCGGATGAAAGGTACACTGTTACGTGTGGGAGGTACGCCTTTCAGCACCAGAGGAAAGGGGGGCGGAGCTGGATGTATTGAATCCAAGGCACGCTGGTTCCATCGAAGCTGATGATTGTGGTTTCGGCGACGGAGTTCTTTGCAAATTGCCTCCGAAAGATGCACGGCATAGTAGTAAACGGTGACAGGAACGAACGCTCTAGACTCCAACAGGTACGATATTAATACTGATACGACATTGTGGCTCCTGCTTAGGCTTGTTATCCTTCATCTAGTAGCTATGGTCCCGGACTTTTGCAAACAGCCTGAAGTGTGCCACTTGCATGCTCATTTGCCAAGTATGTACCTAATTACCCGATGCTACCAGACACATTGCCACAATATAAAGCGACCTTGGATCTCTCTGAACTCTGACCGCCACCTTGGTTGAGAGATCAACTAGCTTTACTGCATGTGGCAATTCTCTGCTGGGCGGTCTCTGTTGGATGGCCGATGCGTAAGGAGGTGTTTAGACTGGCTATAAAAAGGGCCTCTCGCAAGATGCATGCCATCTGACGGGCTTGGTCGCAGCGAAATAGATCTCCCCACTGGTAGTCCTTCAATAAGATCCACTTTCCTGAAGCTTGGCAATTCACAAAAGCCGCCATGCTTCCATCTGCCGCGCTTCTGATAGCCGTGATCGGCTCCGCAGCTGCTCTCCGCATCAAGAGCGTTACCCACAGCGGACCGGCGTGTCCCCAGACCGACAGACTGACTTGGTCCGGCGGCCTGGACGACCTAATCATCGCCCTTCCCGACTTCAGCGAGACTCTAGCCGCCGGCCAGATGACGAGCTGCCAGGTGCACCTGCTCATCGACGAAGGCGAGTCCGGCAAGGCTTTACTCCTGCAGGATATTACGCTCAGCGGGGGTCTTTACCTGAGCTCCAACACCAAAGTCGATTTCTACACGACGGCGTATTGGTCTGAGACAGCCTCTGATACTGTGAGTTTATTGTACATGCTTGATGGGAATAGATAGAGGAAAACAAATGCTGACTTTGTTGGGGCAAAAGGTTACCAAGTCTACGAGCACGGCGTCTGGCTCCGCAGTGGTTTTCCGGAATGTGGACGTGGCTCAGCGTGTGAACTCTGTGTCTCCTTGTACTGGCGGCGATGGTTACGTTGGGATATTGAATGTGACTTTCCGCATCATCTCCCAAGGCGGTGGGTTGGTTATCTTTGGTAAAGAACGTAAGGACGGTGCTACTTCTCCCGTCACGGAGTCTCTCGCTTTCAAGTGGCAGAGCTGCTAGACAAATTTGTGTCAAAGATGCGAAGATGCAAATGATGATGAGATTGAGGGGTTGGTGTTACAAAACGCTGTTGTGGGCGTCTCTTACAAAAAACAACAACCAAATACAAGTTCACTACAGCATGGGGCAAGAATCACGCGTCAATCACTGACATGCTTTATCCACTATCTCATGAGTCTTGTGGCACAACACATTATATTGCTACGTAGAAGATGTGCGTCAGCAGTCACAGAGATGTTTCCAGTCTCTGCTGCCGCTGCTGACACCTGACACCATCCTTAGAAATCGACCTGCCGTGGAACATCAGCACGACGAAGTTCCGCATAACCACCATCCCCCACCATTTGGAACTCCAGTACGCCTTCCAGTACGCCTTGAACCGTCATTGTGAGAAGCCACAAACACATGTGACTGACGACCCTGTTCCAAGAGTTGTCGTTGCCAATGCTATGTAAGCCGCCAAGAACGGTCGGTTCTCAATGGCAATCGTCGTCACGTATCCACCTAAAAACCGGGATGTGGGCGAATGCCATTACGTCTGCCCACGACGCATCCCGCGGGGACGCAATCGGAGTCGCCGACGGATCGTCGAAGGGAAGAAAAAAATAACCAGCTTCGTCGGTACAGCGCGTCGCGCGCCTAGTGGATATCGTTCGTTACAGTCGTAATTCGTAGCAGAGCCCGCAGGTGCCTCAACTGGGACATTCGGAAACCATGTGATCCTGGCCTCCCAAAATGAGAAAGCCCGAAAAAGTATTACAATACTCCCGATCGAATTTCTCATCTCGTGGGCAAAAAGTTCTTCGAGTCACTCTCTTGCTCGGAGAATGATTGAGGGAAGGCGGCAAGACCTGCGACGATGGCGACGGCCATGAAGGCGACGCTGATGAAGGACCAAATGAGACCCCAGCAGCGAGATGAACCGCCGTAGCGTTGAGCAAAGACGCTCGCATCGGAGCTGTTAACCTTGCGCATGATGAGATCGTCGCAGATATCCCATACAGAGTAGAGTGAGCTCATGACTCCAATGAAGAGCTATTGGCGTATCAGAATCCCACTCACCACTCATTGCGCATTAAAAAGATGGAATGGCGAGCTTGACTTACAACGACGAATCTGAGAGCTTGAGCGTGGGAGATGAACCACGCCGCGACGAGCAGACCGACAGCGAGAAGAACCGTGAGAATCGTGAGCCAGTCCCGCTTTCCCCACCAAAGAGTCAACAAGAAGCATACGCCAAGAACCATGGAGGCAATCTTGGATGCGTTGATGTTGAAGCCGCAAAAGATGAGCAGCCCGCCGATGAGCGATGAGCCGAGATAGCCCGCGGGGAGGGTGATGGCCTGCTTGCCGCCCTTCATGAGCGTGGCGCCGCCCTCGTTGGGGTCGAGGGTGATGGAGAGAACCTTGCCGCCGGTACAGCAAGCGGTGATGGCGTGGCCAAATTCGTGAAAGGCGATGACGAGCATCTTGAAGGGCCAGAGGACCTGGCGCAAGAAGGGGACGTTCCAGAGGATGGCGATGATGACGGCGTAGGCGCCGATGACGCCCAGGGTGACGGCCTGGGTGTGGTTGACGGTGAGGTCGCGGCGGGCGAGGGCGTGCTTTGTCGTTGCGCGGGCGACTTCGGGGAGGACTACGACGGCGGCTCTCTTCCAGACTTGGTTTGCGATGGCACCGGCGCGAGCGAGGCTCTGTCTGGCCGTTGTTGGAGGGACGGGGGCCATGGTGAAGTTGGGCTGTTTGGATTTGTATCAATAGCGACAGACTGGGTGTGGTGGTTTGGTAAGAGCGAGTGAGTAAACACAAGAAAGAGAGGGCAAAGGCGTAGCCTGTCAGAAGCGAGAGTTTTCCTTATGTATAATCACAGAGAATTCGTACTTGGCAATCCGATCATAGGAAATGCCTGTGTATTACGACAGATACGTAAACAAAGCCGGTGCAAGTTGCAGGGCTTACGTGGAGGTGGTGGGCTGGGCTGAGGCTGGGTCGCATTCCCCCTGTATCTCCTTTTTTTTCTTGTCTCCTTGCCAGGCTTGCCAGGTTCTTGAGGTCACAGGTGGTGGTCTTTCTTGTGGTCGGCCTCTCGTCTGAACTCCAGTATTTCCCCAAGCACAGACAGACGGGCTTGGCTGGAGACGCGCCTTGGACGGCCTGGGATCTGAACCAACTATGAAAGGCCCTGCTGTGCCTGGCTGCTGCTGCTGGCAGATGAAAAGGGGTCCACACGGCCCCACCCCGGGACCCGGCACTGACGCTGAGCATTGGCACTGCCACACTGCGACATGTGTCGCTGTTGTCGTGGCAGTGGTCGCGGTCGTGGTGGCTGGGCAGAGCCGGTCCTGCTATTTTTGGACTGTGTGGCTAGAGATCACGTGATTTGACACTGACATTGACATGTGGCTGGTGTCTGTGGCTTGAGTCAACCCAACCAACAAAGTATTACATAAGGCAACAGAAACCGCAAGGTTCGATATTCATGCAGGTGGACGTTTTGGCTTTCACGTTTCACCCAACGAAAACATGACGTCTCTTACAGAGTTACAGTAACGGTGCTGGTGCGGTGCAACTCGTGCGCCGGCGGCTCAACATTGTCTGCCGTAAGGTAACTTAGGTCGTTGGAGGTGCTTACCGGCACTATTTCCTGCCTCGGCCTCCGAATACGAGCAGCCTACCTCAATACTTCCCATACCTTAGTAGCTGCACGCGGGGTTTCCCAACCATCTTGTCTCGGAGAAGAATGTGTGGCCTGTTCCTAATACCTTAATGCTCCTACTGGCTTAGAAGCTCTCCCCATCGGATACCAAGCTTCCCAAGCCACCAAAAACAGCTGTCCATTTCTGGTCAATTCCAAGTGCCAATCCATCTCATTTGAGGAATCAACCAAATTTACACCAGTCCTCCACATTATATCGTAATTGACTTCATTTTGCAATTGCTTTGCATCTTATTAGTCCTCCATCTATCGACGACAATATGGCTGCTGCAGTGGACACCTCCAACACGGAGCTCAGCAAGCAATATGACACCCCAATGGGTCTGGCTCACTCAACTATGCAGGCTCTCAAGGACAGAATCAAGCTTCACTATGACCTCGCGAGTGACTACTATCTGAGCCTTTGGTAAGCTCACTGGTCCTCTCCCCCTCATCCACCGTGCGCGCGCTTTGTGACGTGCAATTGAGGCACAGCGCCCTTTCACACTCTTGATAGACTGTATCCAGTCTGTGCCCTCATCCGTCAATGTTGAGTACAGCGTGATTATCTTGTCTAAGCTGACGTGCCCCGTCTTCAGGGGTGAACACATCCATCACGGCTACTGGGAAGACGGCTCCGAAACAAAGGAACAGGCCCAGGTGAAGCTCATCCAGCTCCTCCTCCAGCTCTCCGGCGTCGGCGAGAACAGCAACGTTCTCGACGTCGGCTGCGGCATCGGCGGCACCTCCCGCTACCTCGCCTCCACCCTCGGCTGCTCCGTCACGGGCATCACCATCTCCACCAAGCAGGTCGAGATCGCCAACAGGCTCACAAAGGCCGAGGCGGAAAAGCAGGCATCTTCAGAGTCATCTGACAAGGCAAAAGAAATCGAAGCCGACGCCGATGGCTTCGTCTCGCTCGGCCGCGGCAGGATCCGCTTCATCGAGCTCGACGCCGAAAAGATGGGCGACTTTTTCGCCGGGCAGAGCGCTTCGTTCGACGCCGTGTGGATCAGCGAGGCGCTGAGCCATTTCCCCAACAAGGCGCTCTTCTTTGAGAACGCGTTCAAAGTCCTCAAGCCCGGCGGGAAGCTGGCACTGGCGGATTGGTTCAAGGCGGAGAATGTCACAGAGACGGAGTTTGCGAACGATCTCAAGCCGATTGAAGGTATGTTGGGCTCTACATGTGACCTTCTAGGGAGATGTGGCAAGAAAGAAATTGAATGTTGACTGGCTCCATTATCAGACGGTATGCTTCTCCCGCCGCTTTGCACTCAGCAGGGCTACGTCGATTTTGCAAAGGGCGCCGGGCTTTCCTTGCTCGCGGGCCCAAAGGATATCAGCAAGGAAGTGAGCAGAACTTGGTAAGTTGGGTCATGCGATAATATCAAACCATACCTTAGACGTGACCGCGAGTAACACTTGTCTAGGGACATCACATGGACTCTGGTTCAAAACCCTTCTCTGTGGGCCTTTGCTTTTAGTCAGGGCCGGGACGGCATTGCATTCTTGCAGTCCTTCCGCGCCATGAGGCGTGGGTATGCTAATGGAACCTTCCGATACGCTGTTATTTCTTTCGAGAAGCCGAGCGGAAAGGCGTAGGAAGGATATGAAAAAGAGAAGTCATTGTGGGTATAGCGTAGCTGATGGCTTCGTAATAACGATGGAATCAGACTAGTAAGATTCATTTGCATGATGCGGTACTAGCACGCGTACACTTCAGTCATATCGACGAGGAACATATCAGCACAATTCATCGGCGTCGACAACAGTCAGCCCAGGGAAGACTCTTGATGACAATGGTATTGCTAGCTGCTTGGGTAATTGAATTCGATCCTCAGCCGTAAACTCATCGAAAGTACATATCTACATTACAAAGTCTTTGATAAAATCCTTGTCCTTGAGAAGATGAAATTCGAGCTGATTAGAAAACCACCCAAGTTGATGCCGAGGAAGTCTGTCCTCTCCCCAATAATCAAAGCCAAGCATGATCTCAACTTTACAAATCAGGGAGTCACAAATTCGTCAATGTTAACTCGCTCAAAGAAGCTGATATGTCCAAATCCGACCCAGTACTGAGCAAGCCGGTCATGGGAGACTAGCATAAGCTGCGACTCGATATACTTGTCTAGAGAAAAATGGTTAGCGTACGTCCAATCTCGTCTTTGGAAAAGGCGACATACCATCTAAAAAGCCCGTTCCAGCGACATGCCCTTTACTCCTGATGACTCGTGTGCCCTGAAACGGTGGCTCTTGAGCAATTCCAACGAAGCCAGCCTCGCCCAAGTCGTCCGCAACGAAAGTGTACTCCCCTCGCGGAACATTCGGGTCGCCAGTGAGTTTGATTGCTTCAAGACGGCCCCGATAGACTCTTGCGTCGGTACGACGTTTTGTCCACTCTGATTCTGCTTCGTCAGAGCCACGGACAAGACCAAGTTCCTCATCCGACACTTCTTCGTCATCGGGCTGGTTGATCAACAGGAACTCGCACCCATGCCCGCTGTAATCTCCAACCCAGACACCTCGCCATGGTTTGAGCTCCGTTGGTGTGTAGACAACAGGATCGAGGGTTGAATATGTAATCACTTCTTCGCCAATGCGCACGCCGGTGACACCAGGAGTACCCATACCCATGTTGGCTTGAATAGCTTGAATGATACCTACAGGCCCAGGCCCGAGGAAAAGACCCGGTGTTGGAGACCCGGCCATTTCCATCCACTGCCGAATCCGGAAAGCCTGGTCCGAGGCTTCAGCTCTTCTCGTCGGTTGATCGCCAGGGGCAAGGTCATCGCCGTCCAAACCAGAAACCACACCGGACACCCTGTGACGGGCAGGAATGGCCGGTGAAGGCCAGACATTTCCATAAGGAAACACACCGTCCATTCTCGATGTTGCAGTTACAGCCTCCAGGGGACGGGCCATCATGAAGTTGCAAAACATAGCATCCATTGGGTCGTGAATTGACATCGGTACTTCGGGCAGGAATCGTTGACCCAAACTGCCCAACAGTCCCTCGTCTTCGCCTGGACGGCGAGCATGGAATTGAAGTACCGGCTTGTCCAGATGAAGCTTGACCTGAGGTTCAAAGGCGTGTATAATCACACTGTGGTCGGCGGGCCAGTGCTGATACGTAGTACGGTTGCTGACAGCCAACAACTGATATCCTTCAATGCAACCCCTCCGCTGGTCGTATCTGATGATCATCATCTTGCCCATGAGGTCACGATCGCAGAACCAGATCTTGTACTTTGGCAGAAACCATCTCGGGTCGTGTGCGGCGTAGAGTTCGCGGTATGTGCGGCATGGATAGGGAGTTGTGACCTTCTCTCCAGGCACATTGGCTTGCACCCTTTGGTACCAGTGAATATCGGACGCAGCATGGGCGTGAAGGGTTCGGCAGGTCTCCGCTACGATCGCCAGGTCGCAAGGGGGCAAATAGGCGAGGATCGCATCGATGAGTTCGGAAGGAAGCGCGAGCAGGCGGCAACTATTGTCTGAAGCCAGAGAAGGTAAAGCTAGCACAGCAAAGACGGGTCAGCCGGGTTTATCAGAGAGCAAATAAGGATGGGTGACATACTACCGGAGGCGGCTATGTTGAAGTCAGAGGGAAGGGGGTAGTATTCTTCTCTAGAGCTTCCAATCGTTTTCCGGTGATCTGTGGCATCGCTACGTAGTCCCTCTTCAGATACATAGGGTAATATGTAGAGGTTTTCTTCAACTTCGGGATCGATGCCGCCGTAATTGCTACCGCTGGCGGTTGACATGGTGTCGTGAGTTGGCGCATCCGAATCCGCGGCGGAGGTGGAGGGCGAGGGAGGACTCGTAGCCATTTCGCAAGTCGTATCCATGCCTCTTCAGAGAAAAGAATTGCAACGTTGAACACCGTTCCGAGGGCTTCTGGCTGTGAAAGGGGGGCAGGCTATTCTTGTGGCTTGTTGGGCGATCCAATACTCTCTCACAAAGGTTTGGCGAGTGGCTGCAATGCGAGTATGTAGCGGCGGGGTTATTGTTCGGGCTAGAAAGCAATGTTGCGGACGAGAACGCTTCGGGGTGATGTAATATTGGCGCTGCTTGCAGCATGTGTCAAAATGTGTCGATGTCTCAACGATTCCAGTGGCAGTCTAAGGCATCACGGAGGTTCGGGTCGCCCAAGGGTGGTGCATATAGGAGTCGTCAGTGCTCGCAGTGTTGGGGTCATGACTCCAGGTTTGGTCTCCACGTCTCCGACCAGCCGGGGTGAGGGTGTGTCGGGTGCGTGCGTGTATGCAACAATAGCATGAACTTTTTGGTTGCGGTCGCGGACGGGCCAGAAGTTCCTCTTTGCGACCCCCGGTTACGGCGCATAGCTAATCCACCCCAGGCTCAAGCCGGGGATCATGGATAGCAGTGATGACAGCACGGTCGACAGCAGTAGCGGTAGCATGTAGCAGCGGCAACGACAGCCGAGGCGGGGCAGAGAGTTTGGCGTGGTGGGTGTAGGGATGGATACTTGGTAGTGCCAATAGAGCTGGCTAGCGGTTTAGATGCTTGGAACGACCAACCATGAACAGTCGCGAGCCGGAGAGATGGATAGATGGATCTAGATTCCGCAGGCGTATGCGACAACATGCGGCTGGATGTGCCGAGACAGATGATGGATATCAAGGACTCGAGAGGACGTTGCGGTAAGGTTGGTCGGGACCAGGTTCAGGTTCCAGTTCCAGGTCAGGGTCGGTGGTGCAGGCGGATATAGGACCGAAACAGACAAAAGGGCCTTGGTTCGAGCAAGGTATGCCGCCATCGCCGTCCCCGGGCCACAGGACTAATGCAGCGCCAATCGGTGACTGGAACCTGGACGGGGGGAAACTTGAAGGATGAGTGGAATGTTGTGCCCGGAAGAGGAAGGGGGTTCGTCCGTGGCCAACGACGTTGATGTGTCTAAGGTGCTGGTTAGGTAGTTCTCCAAGTAGGATGCCTATCCATTAGTGCCATTGCGGTCAACCGTGGAGGTGGAAGTCCAAGAATAGATGCGGATATTACTGTGCCTGCCACGCCGGTGGTGCATGTGGAAGCAATGCGAGTTGCTGCAGCATCTCGACCAGCTAGCTACGTAGCTAGCGCAAGCATGCTCTGCTCTTGCATCTCGTCTCATGAGGTGCTCGAGTGAGGTGAGGTAAGGGAGGGATATGTCGGTGACCGTGTGAGGATTACTGCAGCAGTGCAGCTAGCATGCTGTGCCGCAAAGGGGAGCCAAGGCTCAAGCATGACCATCGAGTCGCGTCTTGATCCTTGTGCGTTGGAAGGGTGAAGTGCAGTGGGCTGTGGTGCACCGTCAAGGGTCAGGCACCTCAGGTACCGAGAACCGGAACCGGAATGGGAGCGGATTGCGGGGACGTAGGAGCTGCTTGCTGACTAAGGTACAAGGACTCCGTACCGGGGCACTTTTGGGATGAGGTCAGTGACTTTAGGGTCTGTCACTTATCGGGCGACAAGAGACAAGATAAGAGACCTCCCGTCACCTCCAGTTCAGGCTTCTATCCATCCATAAGGTAAGGTACCTTACCGTAAGAGCCCGGATCAATAATGCCATCGCCTTTCTACCCAACCACCTCACCAGACTGACGATGCCAGCTCACCTACAAACGCAAAGTACCTTACCTACCTTGACTTCGGGCCAAGATAAGCACCTTGGCTTTGGGCCCGAAGCGAGGATGGTAATGACATGAATCAGGGCCACCTCGTCTAGGTACCTTACCTCACTCAACTACCTTGATACCTGCGCCAACTACTAGGTACATACCTAGGCAAGTACGGCTACACTCATCCCTTCGGCTGTCCGGCGCATTGCAGGAGATCGTCGCTGTTTGTTCCAACCATTCATTAGCCGAGACCTCAAATTGGCTTCAACCCACCTTGACCTAGAGGAAATTGATATGCCCAAAGACTGCACCGGGTGGTTACTCCTCCGTAGGCATGGAGAAGAGAAACCCCAGTTCTTGCGCGCATCTTTTGCGGCTTGTCCAACGGCCAATGCATCACACTGTTCACACATTGGCCAAGCCAAGAAACGTGCCATGCTCTCTCCAACTTGCTCTCACATTATCCGTACATCTCGCCGCAAAAGGGCCTGAACATTCTGACCTATAGCAACTGGCCTATTCAGTCTCAATTGAATCCACACTGCTTCAAAAAGTCCCAGCCAAGGCTTGTCGGACAGGAACCTTTGCGGCGAGCCAGCCATGACCTTTCATTGGCTGTGTCGTAAATCCAGTTGATGGCAGTGTCTTTTGGAATTAGAATTTCGAGTATTCGAAGCTTCGGTTGACGAAGGTCACGTCTTCCAAATGACCGATTCTCTCTTTCTTCGTGTTTTTTAGGTAGTGCCTATAGATATATGTAGTTAGATGGCATAGTCTCCAAAACAGGTCTACTAGCCCTCCTACCCAATTAGGTAGGTAGGTGGTTCCTCGTCCCCTCCTTCCTCTTCCTCCATTTCTCGCTCATTGCAGGGACCACCAACTCCATCAACCTGAGGACTCGGGAGGTATTAACCCTTGATTTACCACCAACAACAACCACAGCTGCCCGTTACCACGAACTCGACAGACTTTTGGTTCCATCGCTGGATCTCGCTTCGACTTACCGCACTTTGGACCAATACGGAGGTTACAATTTTCGCGAAACAAGATTCAACTTAATTTCAACGAACCACAACATACGACCGCAGCAGAATAGGTATCCGCATCAACCTATACGCCTATACCATATTCCCAGAACGTTGATACTACCTTTCGCCGTGCTATACGGAAATATCCAGACCTTGCGCCGTCCATACATACTTGCTCAATCCACTGCCGGAGCTCCCCCTAGTTCCCACATCACCTAGTGATCCGTCCGACGTCTCCTTCCTACTTGGTAATAGCTTCCGCCCGCCAGTGGGAAGGTTGTCTTCACCATCACCCAATATCCTACAACACTACGGATACTCGACTCAGATCTCGCTCCTCACCAAGCGGAACACCCAACTACGGCCATCCAACCTTCGTCCCCTCTCCGCGGGCGGACCAGCCGAGACCGGCCAGATCACAACGGAGCACACCAGCAGACCAATGAACCGCCGGGATATTGGAAACCCGCTCCCTCACGCGCGCGCCCCTTGCTCAGGCTTGTTGCCTTGCAGGACAGCCAACAGACACCATGGCGTCCTTGATCCCACTCATCAACGACCTGATACCCATGATCGTCTCCTCCTCGGTATCCGTCACCAAAGCGACCACCCTCCGCTCTTCTGATGCAACTCTGAATCCCGCTTCTGCCAACGAGGCCGATGCCGTTGTCAGCAAAAGCGATAAGCTCTGCGCCTCCGGTAAGTCTAACTTGGTCTAGGATGCCGTCTCCCCTGCCCCTACGAGCACCTTGATTCCTCTCTCTTTCTCTGTATTCGTACGCGATCTGCTCTGGCATCACGCAGCGCCTTTCCCGCCGCTTTTCCTAGCTGCCGCGACATGCTCGGACCGCCAACATGCCCGCCACAAGGTAGCGTTGCAACCGAGAACTGTGTTGCCGGTCATGGAGTAACAAGGCTTAAGTAGTGCTTGTCATGATGCCATCTATCCTGTTCTCTCGCATTGTCCCGTGCCTTTTCAACTGCCACGTCTTGTTCAACTAACTCGAGTAGTCATTACTTTGAACCCACATGCGACATCGGCTATCCGCCATCATGGCGAGCAAGGTTAGGATTAATCTTTTCCCCCCATTCCAACCCACCATCTCCGCGTTTGCGACTTATCGTCGCTCTCTTGGCGGTGTATCTCTAATGCTTGCCAAGATACCATTCTCTACATGGCTTCCGGGACCGGTATCTTACTAGTTAGTCCCGGTGCAGGGCAAGATGTAAAGCGGCACGAGCTGTCCTCGGGTGATTTTGCCTTCATTCCGTCCTGGACAGAGCACCAATTACTCAACGAGTCGGACCAAGATACCGTGTGGGTCTTTACTCGCAGCGGTTCCCAGCCGGTCACGGTAGGCTTGACGGATTGGGGAGGTGACCGGACGAAGTAACCCATATACCATCGCTCGGTCGTGGAGGCGGACTCCAACTCTTGGTGACTGGCCGCATGCTCGATGTGTGGCAGCAGAAGCATCACATCGGGCACTACTCAAAAAGATTAACTTCGCAGGGCACGTGTGAAGTGTGGCTTTCCCGGTGGGAGTCCGCCAATATCATGATATCTATCGAGTATCTCTATCTTGCTTCATCATCGCCCCAAATGGCACCCACGATTCGCGCTATAGCCCTGGGAGAATCAAAGACCTGGGCGTGGTCCTTGTCCGGAAACCAAAGGATGTCGATGCCTGACCCAGCGGAACGGTGACTCTCGTAACCCATGCCCGATATGGGTCCAGCCTTTGGTCCGGCAACGTTGCGCCGGCCATGCTCGCTTTGCAACCATGCGGGGTGTCCCGCCTGCTGGCCCTGACCCCCCTCGGCCAAATACCTGGCGACAGCGTGGCTGTCGACAATCAGGTCCAGCCCGGACAGGCATACGGTAACCTGCCTCGCTTCCTGCCGCTCGACGCCCGCCGATTCCGATCCTGCTGTGCGACCAACCAGTTCGTCAGCCCAGATGGCGTTCTCCCTCCAAAAGAAGTATCTGCCGAGGCAGTGGGCGACCCCGGGGTCCATGCTCGCAAAATACCAGAGCTGCCACTCGTTTGCGGTCGACGGCGCACGTCGTGTGAAGTTGTAAGCGACGTCGGGCAGGTGCAGGAGGATGCTCACGGGATCAATGAGCACGGCCCGCGGGATCCTGGCCTGCAGGTCTGGGCATCGCATGGCATGGGTTGACAA